GACCCAGCTGAACTCGGACCCAAGCTGATCTCGGACCCGGAATCCCGGACCCAAAAACTCGGACCCAGCTGAACTCGGACCCAGCTGAACTCGGACCCAGCTGATCTCGGACCCAGCTGATCTCGGACCCAGCTGAACTCGGACCCAGCTGATTTCGGACCGAGGCCCGCGCTGCAGCGAGAGCGTCCGGGTCCGAGATCAGCCGGGTCCGAGATCAGCCGGGTCCGAGATCAGCCGGGTCCGAGATCAGCCGGGTCCGAGATCAGCAGATCAGCCGGGTCCGAGACCAGCCGGGTCCGAGTTCAGCGGGTCCGAGATCAGCTGGGTCCGAGTTCAGCCGGGTCCGAGTTTCCGGGTCCGAGATCAGCCGGGTCCGAGTTCAGCCGTCGGCTGATCTCGGACCCGGCCGCGCCCGAACTCGGCCGGCCATGTGCCCTCGCCCCCTCCCCGTCTCTCAGGACCGCAAGGCAACAAAGAGCCCATCGAGCCATGTGGAATGTGCGTTCCCGATAATCCCATAAGCCCTTCAGGGCGTGAGTGGTCTAGCGAGCTCGTTCTGCTAAACCCCCTTCTTCCCCTTCGGGGAAAGGGTTCCCCCTCCCCCTACCCCCTACCCCTGGGCCTGGAGGCACCTTCCCGCGAGGAATAGGAGCGCCCAAGATGGCCTAAGATTGTTCCCGAAAGGCCTCAAAGAGCTCAAGATAGCCTCCAAGGTCAAGCAAGATTTCCCAAGATGGTTCAAGATAACTATCAACAGACATCCAAGAGCTCTCGAAACCGCCCCAGGCCGGCTCCAAGTGCCTTTCGAGCCCTCCAATGAAGCCCTCAAGAGGCCAGCTTCTTCCCCAGACAGCTCCTGGGGCATGAGCGTGCATGTGCATTGGGATGTGCACGCATGTGCGCCCGCACGCTTCACCGCATGTGCGTGCATGTGCGGGCCCGCGCGGCCTCCCGAAGAGAGGTTGCGCAGGCATGTGCGTGCATGTGCCCATGACAGATCTGCGATTCTCGAACACCTCCCGCATGTGCAGGCATGTGCGCGCATGTGCGTCGGACTGTGCGTGCATGTGCGTATGATTGATACATCAAAACACAGCGCACATGCCCCCGCACATGCCCGGGCACGACGTGCACAGTAGGAAGTCCATCCAAGAAGGACCGCACAGGCCTGGCACAAGACTGGCACATGCCGCGCACATGCGCGCACATGACACCGCAAAAACGGCCGCACATACACCCGCCCAGGGGTATAGATGTGAGTGCGGTGTAATGGAAAACCCACAAAGGACTCAAATCGAATGCTATGGATCGCAATGGAATGCAATGCATCGCAAATCGAAGTGAAGCAGGCAGAAGAATGCAAGGCAGTGGAATGGGAACTTGGAAGGAGCTGCGCTGCATTGCACAACAATGGAACGCATGACAACGCAATCATGACAACGCATGCCACACCTGAAAGACGCAGAGTGCAAGGCCACAATGGCCGGAGAAAGATCCCCTGGAACCCATTCCCGGGATTACAGTTGCCGCCGAGTCTCCTGCACAGGAGACGGGAGGGGAGGAGCAAGGAGGAAGCAGGAGGGAAGGAAGGAGGAGCAGGGAGGAGGGAGGAAGAGGACGTCGTCGTCGTCGACGTCGTCGTCGTGATGGTCTCCGTGGCCGCAGTCGTCGCCGTCGGAATCGTAGTCCGCCGTCGCTGCCATCATCACCGTCGACATTGCCATGGCCATTCTGAGCCTGAGAACCACCGCGCGAGAATGCACGTCAGTATCCAAGTGCATGCCTGTACGGCGTGGGCGTCTGAGCGTGCTCCTGTGGCCCATGTGAAAGAAGTGATGAAGTGCTGTAGGGCCGCCCGCCCTGGGCCCAAGGACACCTTCAAAACCGCCCACACGCACGAACAGGGCGGCCACAAAGCCCGTAAGACGGCCACGGCTCCCGTTCTTGATGTTATCCCGCTCCTCCTCGTCCTCCTCCACCCTCTCCCCTTAAAAAGAAGTCCTCCCTGGCGCGCCACGGACGTGTGTGTAGGGGGAGCGGCAGGCGTTTCGCCAGAGACTCCCATGCCATGTGCGATCGCCATGTATGATCCTGAACTGTACTATTGTGCAACATTTACACGATGGAGGGCAGTTTGTGTCCACAATGCGGCTCTCGCCTGAGCGCCGCGTGCAATCGTCTGGAAGTCTGTTACACGGGTGGAGGGAGGTTCCTTTCCAAAATAAAACTCTCGCCTGATGGCCGCGGACAATCGTCGTGAACGTCTGTCGCAGTGACAGGGATGGAAGGAGGTTACTTTTCAACATGGGGCTCTCGCGTGCTCGCCGCGGACATAGAGGCACCAGGAGAGCGCTAGGGAGGAGACGGAGCCGCCGGGTGAGCGCAGGTAACGCGCCGGCCGAGAGCCGAGACAGGGCCAGACCGCCGAGGAAACGCCAACCGGGAAAGCGCCGGAGGCGGGAAGGCGCCGGCCGGAAGACCCGAAGCGGAAGTCAGGAGG